ACAATTTACAAGCAGTAACATACGCAAATCTTAAGTATATAATGTGATAAATTTTTATATATATTTATAGACCCATGTAGCAACCTCGCAGTTTCCTAACTCCTATCACTGAAGATTAGTTTGGCCCCTTCTTGGATATCATATAAATGGGATTGTATGGTATGTGCTCTTTGTGTTTGGCTTCTATCAAAACATAAATTTTTTTTTATGTTTATCCATGTTGGTGTATGTATCAGTAGTTCTTTTTTTATTGTGGTGCACTATTCCACTGTATGAATATACCATAATTTATTTTTCCATGCTCTCTTATCCATGGCCATTTGAGATTTTTCTTTTATGGAGCTATTATGAATAATGTTGCTGTGTACTTTTGTATATAAGTCTTTTTGTGGACATATGCAAATATTTCTCTTGGTTATATTCTTAGTGGAATTTCTGAGTCATAGGTAAATATGTTTATTTTCTGTTACCACCCAACAATTTTCCAAAGTGATGTACTATTTTACCCTTCCGGCAGCAATGTGTGGGAGTTCCATTTGCTCTGCATCCTCACTGACACTTGGTATTCTCAGTCTTTTTCATTTTATCCATTCTGGTGAATGTGTAGTGGTATCTTACTGTGGTTTTAATTTATATTACCCCGATGAGTAGTGATATTGTTTACCTTCTAATATATTTATTGAAGATATGGGTATCTTATTTTATGCTATGCCCATTTAAAAAATTTATCCAGTTTTTCTTTTACTTATTGGCTTCTGGGGGCTCCTTACATATTTTAGATATATATTCTAAGTCCTTTGTTAGATATATGCATTGTAAAATAAATATTTTCTCTTGAACATGGCTTCCGTTTTTACTTTCTGTTTGTTTGTGATGGTGGTAACATTAAGGACCTCTGAAATGTGTGCGTGTGTGTGTGTGTGTGTGTGTGTGTGTGTGTGTGTGTAGGGAAAAGTATAACAGTGGGATGTCAAGGAAGTGAGGAGAAGCGAGATGACAGTGGAATAAGGGGGGAGGGAGGAGAATAAGCAAATGAAGGGAAAAAACAGTGAAAAGGAAAAGAGGTAAGTGTGTAAGCTGGAGAAGAAATGGAAGGGGGAAATGAACACAGCTTGGTAAAGGGAAAGCGGGTGACAAGAATGACAACCTGCAGGGCAGTTTTATTTAAAGACGAGGACAGTTGTCCCTTGAATATTGAATGCTAGCAAATGGGACATCCAGGCATTAAGGGGGCAAAGAAATGTTGAGAATGAAATGACAGTATGTTTGTGGTGGCCCACAGCAGAGTAGTAAGTGGTTGAGATTGAATTTGTATCCTGCCTCACTACTTACTAGTGCTGTGGCCTTGGAAAAGTTACCTAACTATTCCAACTTTCTAATTTTTCAAGGGCAAAATAGGAATAATGGGAGTACTTACCTTACGGCTTTGTTGTGAGGATAAAATACTTAGTAAGTACTTATTATATAATAACATCACCTACTGCTACTGCTATGCTTTTTTGGGAAAATATCAGAACAGATCACATGTTTGTTGTTTTGAATTTGTAGTTTCCAATAAGAAAACTGTAAGTCTATATTTTGCTCTTGATGTTTGTCCACAGACATGTCGTGCTTTCAAGTACTGTTCAATTATGTTTGAGATGAGAGTGGAGGTCTTCTTTACTTCATCTTCCTTGCTTCATCTCTATAACAACTCCTGCTGACTTCTACGTATTTGTCCGGCCAGAATCCTCAAGAGGAATTAGGAGCTTTTGCTGGCTGCACCTCCGATCCTGGCTTACTTTCCCAGGCTGGTCCATGTGCCACCAGATGCTCTGAGGAGGTTTAGCTTTCCACACGTGTGGAGATTGCTCCCTGCACACAGGTAGGAAGTTAAGGGAGCAGAGAGCTAGTAAGTAGAGGTAATGCTAAATCTCTCTAGCTGTGTTTCACTGCTGCATCAGCTATAATAATATGAAAGCCAAAGAGCAAGTTGTTCCCTTGTGACATGTTGACACACCTCTAGATGGATGTATATGTGGGGATATGGGTGAGTGGAGAATATTAGAAACACTTTCTCATCACTTGTGTCCTATACCTGTCTGAAGAAGTACGCTGTGTGCATTTGTATTACTATGTTCCAAAAAAAAAAAAAAAAAAGGAAGGAAGAAAGAAAGGAAGAAAGAAAGAAAAGAAAAAGGGAGGGAAAGAAAAAGAAAATGAACAGAATTTAAAGGAAGAAATGGTCACTCTTGGAAAATAAAATAAACTCCCCAACATAGAGGGAAGAATTACATTAGTCAGATAAGGTTTCATTTTACAAGGATCTTCCAGAAATATTTCCAAGAGTTATGTGCCATGCACAGAGGAGCTATTTCAGATGCCAGTTAAACATTGATTTTCTGATGAACTACCCATCATCTAGTGTTCTTGAGTACACACAGTACATTAGAGAGAACATAAAAAATGTAATTTTGTATGTTTTGTTACTGAGTCAAAATCCAAACAAAGTAAAGTAAGAAAAACAGAAATTTAGTTAAAGCAGACATACCTGATCTTTGATATTTGGTCTTAAAAAGACATTAATAGGGTGCCTGGGTGGCTCAGTCGTTAAGCGCCTGCCAGGGTCATGGGATCAAGCCCCACATCCGCGGGAAGCCTGCTTCTCCCTCTCCCACTCCCCCTGCTTATGTTCCCTCTCTCGCTATGTCTCTCTCTGTCAAATAAATAAATTTTTTTTAAAAAGCATTAACAGTGGGCATTCCGTATTTGGAATATTTTGGATCTAAGGACTTATGAAGCCAAAGGGTTGTGTTTCACAGTGTACCCACAAGACTTGCACCTTCATATTGGATATGTGTACAATTTTTGAGAGATTTATCTGGTAAGTTCTTGTTGAAAGTTATGTGGAAGATCTATAGGCAAAACTTTACAAATTGAAAATTGGGCACATATGATTGTGTTTGTGTTTGTGTTTGTGTTTATTCCTTAGAAATACAGTTTTCTTGAGCTGGATTTGGGGTTAAAAGTAATGACTGCAAAGAAATTGGGAAGTAATGCTTCCAGCAATCTTGAAGATACTGTGAGAAAGAAATTGTATTCCTTTGTCTTTGACTTATTTAAATGCAATTTGTTGGCATAGTGTTTGTCAAAACTTCCCAGGATACCCATAAAGCATCACAAGCCTTTTGTTTCTAAAGTGTTTAGTCTATTTAATTAAATTTAGTTTTATTTTTGCTTTGAAATTGGTGATTTTCAAGATTAAAATTAGACTTGTGGACTGATGGAACACTGTATCTTTAATATATAGTATCTTGAAGAACAACATCTTTTTTTCCAGAATCAGTAGCAATTCTTGGATCTAACCTAAAATAAACAGCTAAATAGCATTGGCTGTTTTTCCTCCTACATCATAGAATCTCTGAATGTTTTTTGATATTTGTCATGCCTTAAATTTACAAAAGAATAAGATAATTATCAAACTCCAAATTTCCCTTTCAGACTACTATAGTGCCCTTTCTTTCATTCTTGTAATAATTTTGGGCATTCTAATTAAAGATACTGCAAATATACTGTTACTACACTACAGTATTTTACTCTATATCTGTATGTCAGTAAAGTAACATGTACCAGGGGAGGGTTTACTGTTGTAGTCAGAGTTTCTATGTCACCAGGCTCTTGTGTTCTTAAAAACACTAAAGAGAGTGGTGACTTTGCATTTACCACCTCAGAGCATGTGGTCCCTGCTTCCAAACCTTTCTTATGCCAATTTTGTTTAATAGTATAGATTGGTTGGGAATCCCATATTTCCCAATAATGAGCCCAGTGAAGCATTTATTTTGCTATTAAAAGTTGATTGAAGACCACAATACTAGGGCCTGCGAAGTACAGAGCTGAATAAAGGCACTTTATTTTTGTCCAGGATTCATAATTTTCAGCTCCTCACATAGCTTGTTTTCCATAAACACTCCCCTGCTTGACTATTCTTATATAACCCAAAATTACTCATCACTGAAATGTTTAGGGAGAGTTTATAATTCTTTAAAAGTTATGTTCTCCTGACTTGCAGTATTGTGTTCATGAAGAAGAAGGTAGGCAAAAGCACCTTGAGTGGCTTTCATTTAATTATTATGCATGTATTGCATAATGTATATACTGATTCAAACTTAATACTGACTGCAGTATATTACTTTGAGAAATGCAGAACAAGAAAAATGTGTTCAGCTGAAATTTAGGAAAGGATGAAAATATAAAAATCCCCCCCATATGAGCACTACAAAAGGGCAAAGAGTTTTCACGAAAATAAAACTATAGAAAACAAACTATAGGAAAAATATGTGAGCTCCTGTATTTCTGATGTTGTTGTTGTTTGTTTTCTTTTAGGTGGTTTGGTTTTGCTGAAAATCCTGGCTAGTTGGTTAGAATTTTTTCTAACATTTTGGGACTTCGGTATCATTCATCATACTTATTTATTTCATTTGTTTAGAGTCTTCTATCCACTTGAAAGTAGATAGAGCCAGGCATTTTTTTAAAGATTTTATTTATTTATTTGACAGAGAGAGACACAGCGAGAGAGGGAACACAAGCAGGGGGAGTGGGAGAGGGAGAAGCAGGCTTCCCGTGGAGCAGGGAGCCCGATGTGGGGCTTGATCCCAGGACCCTGGGATCATGACCTGAGTGGAAGGCAGACGCTTAACCCCTGAGCCACCCGGGCGCCCTGAGCCAGACATTTTTACAGCTATTCCAAATCTGTGGAATTCAATCAAAGTAACATGCCATTTTGTTAAGTTGTTTGATGTCATTTATGCAATCTATCTGGATAATGTATTGGGTTTAATGGATTAGCACCCTTTAAATTAAAGTTGGGGGCGCCTGGGTGGCTCAGTCGTTAAGCGTCTGCCTTCGGCTCAGGTCATGATCCCAGGGGCCTGGGATCGAGTCCCGCATCAGGCTCCCTGCTCAGCGGGGAGCCTGCTTCTCCCTCTGCCTGCGTCTGTCTCTTCTGAATAAATAAATAAAATCTTTAAAATAAATAAATAAATAAATAAATTAAAGTTGGTAGCTTGGAATCTGGGATAGGTAAGACCTTTGTCTACATTTCCAGATGGATTCTGTCTCAAGGTATTCTGACTCTTATTCCAGCATAATTCCTAAAAAAATTGCCGTTAATGCTAAATGTCATAATAAACATGTGTACACACAAACATACATACACATATCTAATATGATTTAATTCAAATTAACTATTTCTTAAAGCCTTATTTTCCCACACATTTTGCAGAATCGAGTTAAATTTTGTATATACAGAAGAATAACTATAAGTTATATTGATGAATATATTCATCTATACAGTCATGTATTAGTCAAGTATTTATGCATCCACTTATACATTTTTTCAGTAAATAGTTAGTGTCTCTTATTTGCTATATACCGAGCTATGAACTGGAGATGGAAGACTCAACAAGACCATTCTAGTCTCTTCCTTCCTGGAGTTTAGAACCAGTAGGGCATCAAATAAGAAAACAGGCAACTACAGCCCTGTTGGTTAGATATAAAGTACAAAAATGACTGAGGACATGCAGAGTAATATGGAATATCATGGTGGGGTGGGGGCAAACTAATGCAGGCCTGTGAGGAACTGACACTTTAGCTGAGACCTAAAAGGAGATGGTACCCAGCAGGGAGAACAGTAGGGACACAGTCTGGGGACAAAAGGGAACAGTGTTTGCATTTGGATAACTAAAACTTTAGATCAGTGAGTCATATTGAAGGTACAGTTGAGAATCATTACCATTAATTTTTCTTATAACCAATATGTGAGTTTTTGGAATGTTCTCTAATAGTGCTGAGCATCCAAGGTATAAGCACCACCAAGGCAAATAGTTGTTTGATCCAAAATTGCAAAGTGGGGATGCAGTGTAAGAAACACAGGGAAAGGGAATTGAGGTATTTGCAAGAGAGTGAAAGAAGTAATGAATTGTTTGGTGGCTAAGCTGTATTATGGAAATGAGTGAATATAAGAAGGTACAGATTGAGAAAGAGTTCAGGGTCTTTAGAGGCCTCTATGATGGCAAACAGGTGAGATTAGAATGACTGAACAGGCTGAAAGGATAGGAAGTTACATTTGGAGGACATGTTTGAAGTTAAGATTTAAGTATTGGGGGTCATTTAAGATGTTATCAAGATGTGGGGGATGCTAAGGAAGAGAGTGTTGCAGTGGGCAAGGTGTAGTTGAGGAACTGAGAGATTTAGTAATGAGGTGACTCTTCCACGTGGACACTGAGGTCAAACAGCAAGACTCACAATGTCAGGGTGCTAAAATTGTGGACCCTTTTCAAAAAATAGGACCCAGTGACCAGGGACACTAGCAGAAGTCATTGATGAAGCAGAGTTGATTGGCACTTCGCAAGAGAGTTGGGGAGTAACAATCAGTAAGTTAATGCAAATAACCAGGAGAGCGCAAAACTCATCTTAGGGAGAGGCACAGGGCACCAAGAACAAGAGCAGCCTCCCCTCTGGTTGCCCTGAAGGAAAGTGACATCCTCAGTGAAGAACCAAGTTTGAAGGACGGCAGTATGTGGGTTGCCTGTTCAGTAGTGAGGCTAAGGATGAATGGAAGTCTGTTTACCATGGAAAGAGAGTTCTAGAAAAATCGAAAAATCTGGGGAGAACAAGAGTGGGGGTTTGAACAAGGGAGAGAAATCATAGAGCAATGTGAGGATAGTGAACTGGAAGAGCACAGAGGAGAAGAATTTCTGTCTCAGGTGTTTCTCTGAGGTGTGACTATTATAGCTGAATTCCAAAACGTTTTCAAGAATCGGCCCAACTGTCCTTTGACAGACAGATTCAGGGAAGGGGAAGTGTACGATAGTTATGAAGTCTTTTAGAAAGGCCATGGGGGTTGTTCTGCTCCAAATAAGCAGGTTCACAATGGCGTTCTCTGCTTCTCAGGACTTTCATCTTTTGGAAACAGCAGCAGCTTGTGGTGTTTGGGGAATTTTGCATCTTTCAAGTTATTCAGCTGTGTCCTAGATTTATTATAGGCTGTGGAATATGGTGAAGGATCTGATTTTTTTTAATGTGCATTATCTTTTCAGTCAGAGTATTATTCTATTTTAAACAATTGGGTTTTTTATATTTAACTCTATTTTGCCAGTTATAATAACAACTTAGGTATTTTGAATTAGCATTCGGGTTTTTCTTTTGAGAATTTCCTTTATTAGAAATGATCATTGTCTTAAACAATACTGCTTTCTTAAATATTCTTAAATACTATTTCTGGGATTCAAGCATTATTCCAGGTCACCGTGCTGCTAATTGTAGCAGTGAAATCTAGAGTGAAATTGAATTTGATGTGGACAAATACTATTTGTAGAAAACTTTCTTCAATAAATTGGACTACTAATGTGAAATGAAACACCAGAAAGACATGTGTCTATGTTTTTTCCCTTAACTTGGATATTACATATTATCTTCAGATTTCATCTTCTAGCAGACTGTGTTCATGCTGATATTAAGTTGCATGGTTGGACCTGAAAAATCTTGATATGATGCCTCTGTAAACACAATTTTTATTTTTGTTCTTTCCTATGACCTTGTGAAGGTCATTTTCTCTCTTTGTTTTTATCCTCACCATCTGGAATAGTGTTTGTGACTAAAATTTAGCAACTGTGGAATGTATCATACTTAGAAAATGCCTTAGCAAAGGGTATTATACTGCACAGAGACCCAAGCAGAGAGGGTTCCATTTGTCTTAAGAAGAAATATAAAAGTTAATTGATTTTCAGAGGATAACTTTAACAAATAAAGACCAGAACCCACATTGTCTCATTTTGTTTTATAACTTCTGGTATGTTGTATTCAGTATCCACTGAAAAATCTGAAGTGAGGGCTAATGATTTTTGGTTTATTTAGTGTTTTTATAAAACTGCTTTGTAAGTGAAAGTCATTCTTTGCAGTTGGCAAAAACAGTGAATGGATGGTAATGAAAATTCACATTCATGGACCATTATCTCGTCATTAAGATGATCATTATGATAACTGTATTGTACCATGGAAGTGCTTGGGGCCTTTTGGGAAGAAAAGCAAAATATATGAGTACATTTGTGTTAAAGTTACAGCACTGCAAAATAGATGCCTGCATGTGGCTAAGGATGGGAAAGTAATATGAAAGTAATTAAATTTTTTGCAACAACAGGATTGTGGTCATTTTTTCTCTCATCTTGATTTCTCTTACAAAATATGTTTATCTATTAAGTAAAACTACATTAAAAATTGCACTCATGATTATTTGCAGTTTCATTCATCCAAATATTTATTGAGTCTTTAGTATATAATAGATACTATTTTAGGTGCTGAGAGTATATTTATGAATAGATAAAAATAAAACTCTTGGTATTTTGTTTCTCACATATAATTCAATAGGTATTTTTGGCAAATATGTGGAGGAGGGATACTGGGGCCTTTCAGGGATCTCTTGATCATTTTGTGTAACTATGTCTCCGTTTGCAGGAAGGTCCCCAGAAAGATCACCAGCAGAATCTATTGATTAAACAAAACTAAAGATTAGTCTCCTTGGAATAAGGAACACTACCTTTAAACTTAGAAATATTTCAGAAGGGGAAAGTAAAGAGAGAATATTTGTAGTCTTAGAGCCTGGTCTTGCTAGGTAGAAAAATGGTTGGGACTGCACCTGATTTAAAGAACTAATAGCTTGGGGCGCCTGGGTGGCTCAGTCAGTTAAGTATCCAACTCTTGGTTTCAGCTCTGTTCATGATCTCAGGGTCATGGGATGGAGCCCTGATTTGGGCTCTGCACTCAGTGGGGAGTCTGTTTGAAGACTCTCTCCCTCTCCCTCTATCCCTCCCCTTCTTTCCCCTACCCCGTTCATGCTCTCTCTCTCTCTCAAATAAATAAAATCTTTTAAAAAATAAAGACCTAATAGTTTTGGATTGATGGAGTCTTGAAGTAAAGTGAGGGTCTTAAAGCAAGCTCTGATGAATAAACTGTTCATTTTGGTAAATAAGCTATTTTCTTTGTTTTACAGTCTTTCCAGGAAAAAGTATTCCCCAGAGCAAGTACCTAAGTTATTATTATCTGGTCCCAGTATTTGTTTAGCACGAAAGCAGGCACTTAAGCTTTGACCCCAAATTGTATAGCACTAGGGCAGGAGAATATTTTGATTTTAGTTCTTTCCACCTTCTTTGTGCGTGAGCCTAGGTGCTGTGGTCTAAATGTTTGTGCTCTACACCTCAAATTCATATTTTGAAATCCTAACCCCCAAGGGGATGGTATTAGGATGTGGAGTCTTTGTGGAGGTGATTAGGTCATGAAGGTAGAGCCTTCATGAATGGAATTAGTGCTCTTGTAAAAGAGGCTCCAGAGAGATTCCCTCACCCCTTTGACTGGACGTAG